AGAGAGAGAGATGGGGGAGGGGAGGGAGGGATGAGGGGAGAGAGAGGGGAAAAGCTGCTTACTTTAAGCGATAGTAAACATTTGCAGGAAGCTGAGCTCATCAGATATTAATGCAAAGCTTACTGATACTGGTGTTATATTTCAACTTCCAACTTCCAACGTTTGAATCGATACCAAAAGAAAGTTCGTTTTGAAAGGGAACTGAAGCGGAGACAAACGAAAGTCGGAAAATGTTGAAAGATGTACAAAATATTATAAAGAAAGAAAACCATTTAACATTTCCTGCTCTGGGCTCTCTTCTCTGATCCAGTTCATGACGCTCTGTACAGAGACTAGAGACATTGAGAAGATACTACGCTACCTAACACTTAAAGAGTTCTATCTGCTCAGTACCTAATTTAGAAAAAATAAATTTGACGTTAAAAAAAATTGAATTTCACAATATATCGAATGCAGTTCTTTGAATATCTTGATAGCAACTCCGAATAATCTTACGATTATGAAAGAGAAGGAACATTTAGTTTCTGACCTCGTGGTCTTAGTAACTCAAAGCGGCCAAAAATATCAGATAGAACTTTGTCATTCTGAAACTGAAAACAAACGCGTTTGTTTATTAGGCGACCGAGTCGGGCGACCGGCTCGACCGGCCGATTCCATCGGTAGTGGGCACCCCGTTTGAGGTAGAGACTAGCCTATGCCCTATGTATACTTTAAAAGTTTCTTTGATTTTATCAACCCAGTTTTCAAGTCATGTTCCGATGATTCTCTTCTCGCAGGAACCCCGTTGGACCTTCCGGTCACAGCAGGTAGCGGTCAAAGATGGCTGGAGAGGTAACGGAAGCGGAGGCCGAAGAAGAACTAGAGGCGGAAGACGAACAATTTGTTTATCAGCAATCTGACGGCGTCATTCTGAGGATCGAAATGGAAGGAGAAAACAGACACCGAGACAACAAACGCGGTATTCCCAGACCCGTCAACGACAAGACCAGGCTGAGGGCAACGATACCCACGAGTCAGACCAGGGCTCCCGCGGTCGGGGCTAGCTCAAAGCCCAATGCTCACGTCAATCCAGGATTCGAAAACGACGAAGTTTTTGCTGCAGAAAATGAGAGGAGAGACTCGTTCGGTATGTCGCCATCCAGAAATCTGCAGCAAAGGAACCGGGGAAGCGGCGGGAAAGGATCCAATGTGTTGCCCCAATACACGCAATATCGTAGCGTGGAGAGTGAGGATGGGGGGTATATTAATCAGACCCAAAGTCTGCACCAAAGACCAACAGCTAAACCAAGAAACCAGGCCAGTAACTCGAAAAGAGATATGCTTCACTCAAGGGACAAGCGGATCGACGACCCGGAAGGGGATCTCATACCCATGAGGGAGATTCATCCAAAGTCGGAAGCTAAGTCAGCCAAAGAAAATGTTTACCACGAGCCAGACTCCCCGAGAGGGAGAAAGCTGCCAGACTTGCACGGCCACCAATCCAAACTTCCGTTTGTAGTGAAAGTGGATCAAGTGCAGTCTGTACCCCCGAGAAAACAACCACAGCCGCCCCCTCCCCGCCTACGTCACCAAAACGACGTGGAAGACAACGACTACGGGAGTTTGCGACCGGCCATCAGAAGTCTTTCCAGAATGCCCCCGTCTCTCGAGGAAGATTCCTACTTGAAACTGCCCTCCGTTGTTTCCGTTTCCAGATCTCAGTCGCTCAGATCGCCGACCGATCGCGACCCGAGGAAAGCGAAACCCCGGAAGTTGCTCCGGGACTTGAGTTTTTCAGACGCAGACGCCAAGACTGTGCGGAATTATGGGGAGTTGTCGGGGGCGAGCGCTCTGCCGCGGAGAAAACCCATACGGAGGTCAGCGGTCAAGGAAGAGGAGGAGCCTGAGGGGGAGGAGGGTAAGAAGAAGAAGAGTATGTCTGTTGTATCATCATCATCGTCATCATCGTCATCATCGTCATCATCATCATCATCATCATCATCATCATCATCATCATCAT